GTGTCGGAGAACCGCAGCCTTCTTTACAACGCCCACAATAGGGCTAAAGCGCCACCTGCTGTAAAACGAATGAAATGATTAGTTCAACATTCGTTCACGACTCGTTCATTTTACTGTTCGAGAGTTAAAGATTCGAATCAGTAAAAAGAGTCGGTCTTCCCATCACAAATGACATGAGTTTTCCTCACATTTGTTTAAATACACACTTTCAATTGTGGTACCTTTATAGGTAGTTGCCAAAAAGTGTGTCAGGACCCACAAATGGTTCGTTGGACATTTTCTAAGTGTTGTCAACAAATTTCACGTATTTAGTTAAGTTTTTTTTTTCAAATTTTCTGTTTACATTAAACCTGTATTATGAGCCAAGTTTATTAGTTTATATATGTCACACGTATTAGCCCATTAAACCATTGCTGGCTAGGTAAAGTGGATTTTCTTTAAAGAAAAATAAGACATATGTTATTTACCATTTAAAATGAGTATATTTTCATTAAAAAAACAAATGAATGATTGAATACATTTTATAAAAATATCTGTTTTAAGGGGAAAAAATAGAAACACTGACTTCAAGATGCAGTAAAATGATGTCGAAAATGCAGTCCAGTGTGGCATATTGGATTGATTCCAAGGTTTTGGGTTCAGTTCCTCCTGGTCCCCAATACCAGCTTGTGTGATGTAAAGGATGAGCATCTGGTTCAAAAACAGTACCAAGCAATGCTGTGGTGACCCCTAAAGAAGGGGCCGTCTGAAAGTGATTGTTCTTGGTCAGATCCTGGTGATTTAGTTTATGGGTTGTTCTTTTTCAGGACGTGATTTTCCTCAATTAAATACTAAACAGCTATTTGTGTACTACAGCAACACCGCGGTACTCGTCCAAATGCCACATTCCTTTTGGTTTAAATGCAGAGTGAAAACATGTCTCGGCCAAAAAGTGGTGTGAAGCCCCAGTTCACCACAAAAACTGCACCCTGCAGGTGGCAAAAGTCACACGTAGACTTCACATTAACGCGAATAGCTGTGGAAATTCAGTGCAAAGTATTGGTATTTACGATTTCTTTTTTTTTTTTGTAGTTATAGTTGAATGTGCAGATATATTAAAACTCTGTTTCCACAGGCCTGGGATGCCCGAATGAGCCGTGTTTGAACCAGGAGACATGTGAAACGACCAAAGATGGAAACAAGTGCAAGTAAGTTGGGGTTTTTTTTAACGCATTGAATGGTGAAGGGGAAACAATAATAATCCGCGCGGGCTGCCTGGATTATGTGGAAATATGCGATTGTGGAATCTGACATGACTCATATTTTTTGGTTGACATTTGAGACCTCCAAAGGTGGAGTTCTCATGCCAGTGCTGCTATTTCTGGGAGCCAAATGGTCCCAGACAGGATAAAAATGAGTGGACATTGATAAGGGCTGCTGGGGTCACTGTGTGTCTGTGGGTGTCGGTGTGTGAGATGCTGCCACTACACTCTGGCCTCTGCAGCCAAACTCTGGCACCCCTAAATCTTGTTTTTCTTTTCTTTCACGGAGCGACAGCTGGGGTTGCCTGAAGCCTGGTGACCATTGTTCTTTGCTGCGATTAATTCTGTGTGACTGACCTGGGTGAGGCTTCCCAGAGAGACCCTCAGACCCTGTCCCCATACCCACCCTCTCCACATCCCCACAACTCTCTCTTGGGATTTTGTCCCCTCCTCAAAGGCCTCTCTCATTCTGTTTCTTTTTTACATTCCTTTAGTTAAATTGCAGAATTTTGACGTTTTCAAAAAAACTCAAAAAATTTAGGAAAACTACAGAAACAAGTTTGTCGTCGGAGTTTTATCATAAATATTTTTAAAAGACAGTAAACGTTGGGGACCAGAGGAGCCCACAGGTCACTAAGGGTCCATTCATCCTTAGAATCTCCTGTTCCTGCCCAGGCATTGGTCCACTCATGTGTCTCCTGTGCAATTTAGCTCCTGGGTCATTTGCAGTCCCTGGACCGTGCTAGCCCCGGGCTGCTATCTTGGCCTCCCACCACATCTTAATTTGGTCTGGTTGTGTTATTCACTCCTCAATTACTCCTCTGTTTGGGTGGTTTAGTTGAATGTCGGTTCCATAGTGTAGTGGTTAGCATGCCTGCCTCAGAGAGCAGAGATTTCAAGGTTCGATTCCCAGTGTAACCACATGCTTGGTGCACACAACAAATTCCCAAATATGTGGTCAATATAGTACAAATGTATTTCTTTATATATTTGCTGACACTGTGTACTCCGAACCTTTGAAATAATTTAAGACGGATAAGAAAGTTGTCCCTCTCCTTGAATCGCAACCTTAACGTGGTGGAGGGGTTTGAGTATCCGAATGAACCTAGGAGCTATGTTGTCGGGGGCTTAACGCCCCTGGTAGGGTCTCCCAAGGCAAACAGGTCCTAGGCGACGGATCAGACAAATAGCGGTTCAACCCCCCCCTTTGTGATGAAGAAAATAATTAAATCAAAGAGGTTCACGTCGCCCGGATTGGCGTCACCGGGGCCCCACTCTGGAGCCAGGCCCGGGGTTGGGGCTCGCAGGCGAGCGCCTGGTGGCCGGGTCCTTGCTCACGGGACTCGGCCGGGCTCAGCCCGAACAAGCGACGTGAGTCCGCTTTCCAGTGGGCCCACCACCCGCAGGAAGGCCCACAAGGGGCCGGTGCCTTGTGATTTGGGTGCCGGTTGTGGGCGGAGACCACGACGGCCCAATCCCTGGACAACCACTCTAGCTATGGGGACATGGAATGTCACCTCGCTGGGGGGAAAGGAGCCTGAGCTCGTGCAGGAGGTTGAGAGATACCGACTAGATATAGTCGGGCTCACCTCCACACACAGCTTGGACTCTGGGACCCAACTCCTTGAGAGAGGCTGGACCCTTTTCTACTCTGGAGTTGCCCGCGGTGAGAGACGGCGTGCTGGCGTAGGCTTACTTAT